CGGTGGCAGAGTTCAGCGAGCCACTGACTTCCAAAAAACGTTTAGGAGAACAAACTTCTTATGTACGTAGTTAGATTGCTATGATGCAATGAGATGGGATAGCGATGATTAGGGTTCGGAACGTTCCTGGTCTTGGGAAAAAAATCATCTAGCATCACGGGGGTGAGACTCGAAGAGCTCATCGGGAGCAATGGGGTCGAAAAGAGAAGGGGACCGTAGAAGTCACGACAGCATCACCGAAATGCGACCCATCAGACTGCAGAGCCCACCGACAAGTTGGCGACGGCGTAAGAACCCGCAACGATAATCAACAGAGACCTCGAAGACCACCGTCTGATTTGAAAAAAAGAAGAAGAGTTGGCATCATTTTGAAATGATGCTTGACTCTGCAGAGGAAAATGTAAACATAATTAGAAACCACTTAACTATCCTGGGAAATGCCTCAAATGCAAGGAGGACCCTTTTCAAAGTCCAGAAGTTTGGGCAGCAAATGGTCGATAAGGACTTTATTTCCTCCAAATAAAAAGTTTACGTATGTTGCTTTTTAAACTCGGTAACGCTACCTTTTTGCACTCAGTCTAATCGTTTCCGTTGTATGTCCCCCCCCTTCGAGTAACATATTCAATCTACTTTGCAATTAATAGTAGCTGTTCTTTTCTGCACGCTGTTCTTGCAGATGCGTATTGAGAAGCTGCACGTCTCCAGTTACTTCACGGTGAGGCAAGCTGCCGAGAAGGACACCCTTCCCTATGACGAGCTCGTAAAAATTTTCTCGACTATTTCACCAGAGGATTCAAACGGCGCGAGCACTGGAAAAACTCCCTCTAAAAGCGGCGGACACTTTAGGCTTGGCCGTCACGCCAAACAGGAGGGAAGCAAGGGCCAAGAGGACGAAGAGCAGGAGATGTACTCCATGAACCCTTTCCACCAAATAGCTCGAGCTATTCGGCCGATCCTGATGGGCCTGCTCGAAGTGGTCGTCAGCATCCTATTTTGAGTTCGTCTTTCTGGACACGCTACTTTGCTTCCCCTTCCTCCAGCCAGGAACAGCCTGGATTTTGATAATCAACATGTTTCGTGATTTTATCAGCATGAGTTTTTCGAATATAATTCTAAGTATAGTCTTTCCAGAGTCTTTGGACGTGAAAGTCTGTTCGGATTGCGCTATCGCAGAGAGTTCAGTTAATAGGTAAATCCCTTGCCTGTGCGATCTTCTGGACTGCAAAAGAACTGAGACACCTGGTGAAAGGAATAGTTTGTTCTGTATAGAAGGA